GTGAGGTGGTATCTCACTGTGGTTTTAATGTGCATCTCCCTTATTACAAGTGATGTTGAACATTTCTTCAAATGCTTGTTGGCCATCTACTGTTGGCAAAATGGCACTTATTTGGTTTCCAACTAAGGATGGTTTGATCTAAAATTTTTTGACTTCACAGTAGTGTGGAAGTAATGTACATGCAGTAGAAATGGAATTGTGAATTCTGATCTTTTCCCCAGGCTAGAGCTATGAAGGTGCTATTCTTTCATGATGTTGGGCAGTAGCAGCAAGTTACAGCCACAACATCATGAGGACAAGCAGCTGATAATCTATAGTCCTTTCAGTTTGGTATTCAATAAAGTACATAAGCTTTCGACAGTTTATTGTAAGCAGGCTTCTGTCAGTGTTTTTGTCTTAACTATAGGCTAATGTAAGTCTTCAGAGTATATTTAAGGTAGGCTAAACAAAGCCTATAATGTCTATAGCATGTAGTTTAGGTTGTAGTTTATGCATTTTCAACTTAGGATATATTCCACATACAATTGGCGTATCTGGATATAATCTGAAATTGAAGAATATTTGTATATCAGAAATATATAAAAATGTTTACAAAATGACCTGCCAGATTATTTCCCGGTTATGGGAGTGATGAGCTTTCAGTTTTTACATTTTTATATCATATTTTAGATACTTATGTCATTTGAACTTTAAACAAACATATATACAGTGCTTTTGGAAACAAATTTTCTGAAATGCATTTTGTGTTGCCATGCCCTTAGTCTAAAAACTTTACTCAGAATTTATAGGTAGGGTCCTCCCTGGTGACACTGTGGGTTAAAGTGTAGCACCATGTAGCTTGCCACAGCCGCTTCAGTGTGAGTTTGATTCCGGACCAGGGAGGTGACCCACATGGCACAGCAGACCTCTCCTGACCCTTCCGCTGCTCGCCTCAACAGTGTACTTTGTCAGTTTGCCTGTTCTGCTCCCCTCTCTGTCTCTGGTGAAACCTCTCACAGCCCCTGCACCTCTGGTCTGTAACCCAGTTCTGTATGAATAAATAAATATTTTTTTAAAGAATTTATAGGTATATTGTGGTTCCAGTGTCAATTGCTAGGATGAAAAATACTCATTAACTCAAAATTTATGGAACTCAGTAACTCAAAATTTATGGAACTCAGAGGTAAGGTATCTAGAATGGGATGGGTACAGAGTAGCGCATGAGACACTTTTGGCTGTCCATATTCCTCCCTTCTCTTTGCTTTTTTAATGTTTTTCCTTTTTC